AGGAGAGTATAAGCCTATATGGTAAAAGGAACTGAGAATATGTAATAAAGGGGCAATAAGTCACGTTATCATGAGGAAGGATTCCTGGATAACATGTTTCGAGAAAGGTCTTAAAGAGGAAAAAAAAGAAACGATAGAATCCCATGAGAAACATATCACAATGCAGAGGTAGAATGAATAAGCCTAGCACAGGGCAACAGCCAAAGACTCTCCTGGAACAGAATCTGAAACTGGTGACTAACAAAAAAGAAAGTTGAGGATATTAGTTGGGAGCAGAGGATTATTAGTACAGAACATTAAAAAAAAAAAAAGGAATGCAGCTCAATAGTTCAGACTTACTATAAAACCACTGAAGAACTTCACAAATAATGATAAAAGGAGTGAAGGGCTTGAGAAAAGATGTTCTGACTTTTAGAAAGCTTAACAGCAAGAGATTTGTCAAACATTCCACCACTTCTTTTTCAGCGACTGAGGTTCTTGATACTACAATGAACCCTCAAAGTTCATGCACCAATGCTTACATCTTCTCTATAGCATGTGTGCAAAGAAATCATCTGGCTTTTGCATGAACACCTGTGGAGTTGGGAAACTCACTACTTTCTGTAGCGGCCCATTCTGCTTTGAGCCATTCTAACAGAAAGAAAGTTCTACCACAAAGGGAATCAGTGACTGCTTCCCAGAACTTTTTATCCCCGCGTTCCTCCAGAATGACAAAGAACAAGTCTAATCCCTCTTCTACAATGAAGTGTAGCAATTATATCCCCGCTGAATATTTTCTTCTCCAGGTTAAACATCCCCTGTCCTGTCAAGTATTCTTCGTAAGGCAGGAATGCAAATCTCTTTTGGATATACTCCAGTTTTCAAGTTACTTCTAAATCCTTCGAGTAGAATTTTAGAGTTAGCTGCTCAACTTTCACGTAAGTAGAAACAAAAAGGTTTAAAGTGCTAACGCACTTCTGCTCCAATAAACTTTGGAGCTTAGCATTCGTGCTTTGTACACTTGGGAGAGGTGAAAGACACAAATAGGACTTTCTTTACAAAATCTGTGTTTGTTTTCTAGGTATACTTACAGGTGGCAATCTCCCCAAAGGCCATTGTTCTTCCGTATCCAAAAGTATGGAATCGGAGAAATGGCCTAGCTCACTGATAATGACAGAAATTAAAAGTAAACATCATGGGCCATACACACACATCATATAACAAAATAATAACATCATATTAACAGCTAACTTTACAGAGCTCTTGGCAGGTGTCCAGCATTATTCTAAGTGCTGCACAGGTATTATCTTTTTTAATGCTATCTTTATCATCACTTTATAGATAAGGTTAGTGACTGGCCCAAAACGCTAGTAAAGGAGATTAAAAAGCAGGCCCCTGAGGTAGGAGAAAACCCAGAAGGAAACAGAATCTGAAAATCAAAAAAAGAAACTGTTTCAAGGAGAGAAGAGTTAACTTTATCAAATGCTGAAAGTGAAGTAGGAAGAGGACGGAGGACCACAGAATCTGGAGGATGTGGCTGTAGGTGGTATAACTAAGAGCAATGCTATTGGATTAGTGGGACTGAAAGCCAGACTGGAGCAAACAAGAGAGGCTGTGAGGCAAGGAAGTAGATGAGGAGATAGATAATCCTTCTGAGGAAAGAGAAATGGGATTAGAGAAACACAAGGACAGGGACAGGTTTGTTTGTTTGTTTGTTTGAAATATGAGTTAACATTTATGTGCTGATGGAAATGACATGATTTCCATGGTAGAGGGAGAAAATTCCTGATTCAGGAAAGGGATTGAATAGTTGAGAGAGGATGAGACTGAATGCAAAGTGAAGGAACTGGCCACAGATTGGAACAGAAGGAGCTCACCCACTGTAACAAGAGAAAAGGCAAAGAATTATCACATATCAACTATTAGAGTTTATGATGGGAAAATGACTGTTCTCATCTGATTCCTTTGATTTCTCTATAAAACTGAGAATGAGACAAAGCACATATTAGAGGTATTAGGAAACTGGCTATGTTAAGTAATGATTATGGAGACAAGGAAACCAAATTTCCTAGAAAAATGTGGCACTGAAAATCTACCTGAGATTTGTATTCATGAATTTAAAATAAGGCCAGTTAGTTTGGAGTTTTCCCTAGCCCCGTTCTCCACTGCTTAGTGGCAGGCAGCAAATTATGTGGAAAGTTTTGTTTAATCAGGGTCAATGTTTTTCACAACAACGGGAGTTGGGCTGGGGAGTTGAGAATGCATTAAAGGGAATGATAAGAGTGATGAGTAAGGAAGTGAGAACATAGGATAAGACAGGGAAAAGATGGCAGAGTTAATGAACTGGGAAGAATTACTTGAGTTAAGGAATCAATACCTCAAAGGACTGTTAAGAGGATTAGAGTAAACATACATAAACCATGTAGCACATTACCTAGAGCACATTAAGCATTCTATGAATAATAGTTGCTTTTATTACTTTCAAATTTCTCTGAAGGTAATGTCACACTAACCTCACATGGCTATTTGTTTTTTTAATAATTATGGGCCAAGCATTATTCTAGAAACTGTGACTCATAGTAAAATACAAAACCCTGGTTTCATGAAGCTTACAGTATAAAGGGTTGATGAGAATTCATAACATATGGGCAAGATGATGAGATATTTAATAACATATGGGCAAGCATCTGTCACAATGCCTTGCAAATAGTAGGTGCTCAATAAATATAAATTATTACTCTCTTTGGTTCCAGCCTCTCCACTTTCTTCCATTTATAATGAGTACTATTAGAAGAACAATATTCTTTATTAATTATATATTCATTGTATTTCTCTGCTTAAAATCCTACATTAGTTTCCTACTGCAATATCCAAACCAATAGTCCAGACATATTTGCTTGCCTACTGCATTTTTTAAGTATTTATTTAAAAAATTATAGGCATGTTCTATGTAGTACCAATATGATATACACATTATAAATCATATATTACTTAGAATAGTGTCTGGCATACAGTTTAAACTACATAAGTGTTGGCTATTATTACTATAGAAAACAGTTTTTAGGAGTTCTAATATTGTATTTCCATAACTTATTAGGTCCTCTTGCACAACTCCCTTTGGAGACTACTGGTCTAAACTCTGCTTGGCTTTCAAAGGTCTCCATTGTCTGATCCCATCTAACACATTCAACCTCCTTCTCCACTATCCCAGATACACAGGTAGTCATTTTACTGCCTCTTGAATACCTCATGACTCCATTCTCATCCACTTGTCTTTGCCAGAGGACTTTCCAGATCATAATAGCCCTAAAGAGAACAGTGGGAGCACTACAATTCTCCACTGGTCTTCCAATCACCCCTCAGTACCTCAAATGATACTAATCTTTCCCTTTTATGATTTCCTGTGATACTTAATAGTCTTGCCACACTTAACTATATACAGTTGTCTTACACAGTTCTGTCCTATAGTGTGTGGATTATGTTACATACTAGACTTGCCTCTCCAGAATTTACTCAAAAACTTGACTTACCAGATAATAACACAGAGTGGTTAAGAACACAAGCTATGGTGTCAGTCAGAGGAAAGTAAGTTAAAAGAGAAAATTAATAAAAATACCTAGCACTGGAGATTGTAGATAGCAGGTACTCCATAAATAGTGATTATCATTCACAATCTACATTACGTCGTACAAATGTAACTGTTTAACAAGAACCAGCAAATGCCTTTGCAAAGACATTGTGACTACAAAACCATCCACTATAAGTGATGTGCACCACCACCTTCCCAGTGGTATGCAGGAGTTCTACCCAAGATGGAAAACAAACAAACAAAAAGGATCTAAACACTCCTAATTCTTGCCTTAGGCTGAACATCAAACCTATCTCTGGTGCTTTTAAAAATTTAAGGTGCAAGGAGCTAATCTCACAAATTCTGACTCAATAGCTCTACAACCAGTCCTCATTTCTAATTTTTATAAAGCTTTACGAGTAATTGCCATGACCAATTTTGAAAGCAAATGATATTCTGTAACGACTAAAACACACTAAGAAAAAAAAACAACTTTGGGGGTTTGATTGGAATATGTTTGTGGAAGAGTAGAGGGTGAAAGAATAACGATGAAGTGTAACCGTATTTCTAATTTCCTTGCTTTTTAGTGAATGGAAGGACAAATGTATGTTTTCAATTTGAGGAGTGGGGCAGATCCAATCAGAACAGAGGGGAAACTAAATAATGCTACCAAATTCTAACATAGCCTTCATTCTTCTTCACTTTCCTTTCCACCAAGCTCCTGATTCTTCTCTCCTCAAACATCACTCTCTCCCCCAGATCCCAACGCACTAGGCCCAACACATTCTACATCCGTAGAGATGCTTTTGGGTAAAAGGATGCTTTCATAAATATTAGTTCATTTAATCTTATCAGAGACTCCTTGGTACTGTAATATTATCATTTCCATTGTGCTCATATGAATTGAGACCCATTAAGGGTTTGCACAAAGTCATAAAATCAATCCAAGAAAACCTCTCGCCACTAGCCGGTTTTTTCCGCTCCCTTACACATTTCTCCCCCCGCCCCATACAAATATTTCTCATAACCCTAAACCCTTACAACCATAACAGAATTCTGATTCTCTCGATCTCTAACGTGTCCCCCGCATTCTCCTCTTCGCTTACAGCTACTTAAGATCTTTTGTCCCCTCCCAAGGTGCATAATTGAGTATGTAAGCCGGGGAAGCGGAAAGCAAAAGGAGAAACCAGACGGAGGCAGCTCCAAACCCAGAAAAACCAGAGTGCCTAGGAAGTCGGCGTGACCGCTGCAGCACGGTGCCACTCCCAAAACCTTAGATTCCCGTCCCGGAATCCCGATCAGGGGCCGCCGTTCCCGGTGACACTTACGTGACATTGGCAGGACCCGGACAACCCGGGATTGTGCGGCAGCCGCCATCTTTTCCCACAATCCCCCACGCCAGCGCTCCCGGCTGACTACGACTGCTAAGCTGGGTCAAAACTTATTTTCCACGCCTGTCTGCGCAGGCGCTAACCAGGAACGGATGGTTTCGGGTAGCTAGTTGGTTAAGAAAGCTGGGAGAAGAAAGGAGACGGGAAGGGAGGGACAGTGAAGGAGAGGGGGAAGAAAGGAAGTGAAAAGACCTTGGCTGTTGGACTCTCAGATCTGGAATAGGCTGTATAGATGATCTCTTTGTTTATAATCTCTAATTGCCGAGGAACCCGAAGTTCAGAGTTAACCAGTGACTGACTCAGGACATGCAGAATGGCAAGACCCGAGGTAGAAGAGCTCACCTTTCCTGACTCTCAGTTTCCTGTTCCCTGAAAATGTCAGCTAGGGCAGCCCTGGTGAGTCCGGGAGAAAAAGGAGGCGTAGCCCTCCGCGTTCAGGAGGTCCAGGGCCCAGGAGAGAGAAAATGGGGGACAAGGACGAGGGGGAAAAGTGGAGAAGAGAAACCGAAATAGGGTGTGTCCCAAGTAAATGTACGTCGAGCCCGCCAAGCACATTCTCCCCTAGGGACACTTGCGCCTGCTGTTCGCCTTTCCTGGAATGCTCACTCAGGTGTCTGCACCAGCTCAAGTCTCTGCTCAAAAGTGACCTCTTCGGATAAAACTTCTCTGACCATCGTATCCAAGGTGGTAATTATTCCACCAATTTTTGGTTTAAGTTTATATACCAAAGCACTTATCACCACCTGGCATATGAATCTAGGAGTTCTTAACCAGAAGTTTGATTCATGAGTGGGCTTCAGGAAATCTGTGAACTTCCTGAAATATTATGTAAAATTTAATGGTCATGTGTGCCATCTGAACATCTGTCTAAGGGGAGACTGCAGATGGCTCTCTCTAGCGCAATGGTTTGTAATTTTTTCTTTAACTATGGACTGCTTTGAGAATCCGCATTGTTCTACAAAGAGCCATCTAGAAACTGAGGAAATTCCAGGTTAGACTAAGCACTTGGATTTTAAAATACTTTATTCTGGTCAACCTCTCCAGATTCCTGGGTAGGAGACAGCAACCAGTGATCCTGTGAAATATACCGTAGGCTTATCAGAAAACTACCTAGTTTGGGGAGGGCGGGTTCTTCTAGGCTTGGTAATCCTTCCATTGCTTTGTTTTTTCGGGAAAAGTATGTGTTTCTGGGATAGACAAAAAGGCCTGTGATGAGTAGGGATGTAGGAGTTGCTTATTACTAGGCTTGAAATCTTGGCTGTTTCCACTGTATCTTACCCCTACTGTTTACTAAAGTGTTGCCTACCAAATTGAATTGGAAGAGAGAAAAAACCCTTGAATTTCATCAGAGAAGCTTAGTAGTAATACTACACTGTCATATTTCTTGGCCTCATCCTATGTTCACTTAACACAATTTGCTAATACTTGATTCTGGGACCAATATAGATACTAACATACTTTCCTTATTCAGATCAACAGATCCTGACTGTCATCAGCAACCTGCTAACTCCTGTATAACACTGCCAATTATATAATTTAAAATCTCTAAGTTAAACACTGCCTCATGTTCTCAGTTCTAGTTTCAAGGTTGCATGGTGTAATTAAAACAACACTGACTTTTTTTTTTTTTTCAGTGACGGGGTCTTACTATATTGCCCAAGCTTGTCTCAAATTCCTGGCCTCAAGACCTCCTCTCACCTTGGCCTCCAAAAGTGCTGGGATTACAGGCATGAGTCACCGTGCCCGGCTGAAAGAACACTGGTTTTTAACACCTAAAATACTAGATCCCATTCCCAGTTTTATCAGTCATTAGTTGTGACCTGGACAAGCTTCTATACCTGTCTAACAGGGTAAATAAAACCTACCCTGGTACCTCAAAAGATTATTATGAGAATTGGGTGACGTAATGGATGCAAAGATGCTTTGTCACCTGCAAAGTGCTATATGTAGTTCCATGCAGTACTATTCAAATACCACCGAAGTATCAAAATCTTAGAATGTTAGAGCTGGAAGAGATTTCAGGAGCTCAGCAAGCCCCATTATTTTAAAGAGGAAGAGGTCGGGAGTGGTGGCTCATGCCTATAATCCCAGCACTTTAGGAGGTCAAGGCAGGCAGATCACTTGAGGTCAGGAGTTCAAGACCAGCTTGGCCAACATAGTGAAACCCAGCCTCTACTAAAAATACAAAAATTAACCGGGTGTGGTGGCATGCACCTGTGATCCTAGCTACTCGGGAGGCTGAGGCACAAGAATCACTCGAACCTGGGAAACGGAGGTTGCAGTGAGCCGAGATTGTGCCACTGTACTCCAGCCTGGGCAACAGAGTTGAGACTCCATCTCAAAAAAAAGAAAAACAGAAACTGAGATATATTGACAAATATGTTTGACTAGTAGGTGTACTTTCTGTGAAAAGAATACAAAAGCTCTTTTGAAACAATATAAAAGATCATCAATGGATAACTTTTTTTTTTTGAGTCTCACTTTGTTTAAGTGATTCTCCTGCCTCAGTCTCCCGAGTAGCTGGGATTACAAGCATGTACCACCATGCCTGGCTAATTTTTTGTATTTTTAGTAGAGACAGGGTTCTGCCATGTTGGCCAGGCTGGTCCTGAACTCCTGACCTCTAGTGATCCACCTGCCTCAGCCCACCAAAGTGCTGGGATTACAGATGTGAGCCACTGCACCCAGCAATAAATAACTTTTTTGAAGGAACTCTGTGATAAACCCGTCACTTTTGAATCTATTGCAATTTTCATCACTATCTCGTGGTCATGCTTGGAAGTTCTTTTTGCTTCATGGAAACTATATATTAGTCCTATATTTAATCATTAATTACAGAGTAGCTGAGGGAACATTTTCACAGAGAATGTAGTAATAAAGCATAGAAAGAGTAGCTAACCAAATGCCTGTTGGTATGATTTTTCCCACTACAGTTTCTCGGGTCAGGCATTGCAAAAGATAAATTAGGGTCATTGTATCTCTGAGCATCTAAGACAAATTATAACCCAGAGATGGTCAGTTTAGGCAAAATATCCTAAAAATAATTTTTTTACAAAAGGCAAGATGTGTATAAATAAGAAGAGTCCTGGCTGGATCCGACAAAATGAAGTGATTCCATGGGATTTGCATAAAATTTAGACCCTCAGGTTTTTTATTTCTTATCCTCCTCTGCAGCCCTCTAGATTTGTTAATACATAATACTTACTCTGCTGCTTTAAGTGGAATCCACTGGCAAAATGTCCCCCTCCTGTATTCCCCCGCCTATGTTAAACACTCTAAAGCAGGGGTCCCCAACCCCCAGGCCATGGACTGGTACCAGTCCATGGTCTGTTAGAACCTGGACACACAGCAGGTGAATGGTGGGCAAGTGACAAAGCTGAGCTCCACCTCCTGTCAGATCAGTGGTGGCATTAGATTCTCACAGGAGCTTGAACCCTATTGTGAAAAGTGTAGGTTGTGCGCTCCTTTTGAGAATCTAGTGCCTGATGATCTGTCACGGTCTCCCATCACCCCCAGATGAGACCATCTAGTTGCAGGAAAACAGGGCTCCCACTGATTCTATATGATGGCATAATAGTAGAAATAAAGTGCACAACAAATGTAATGTGCTTGAATCATCCAGAAACCATACTCCCACCCCACTCCCATCCATGGAAAAATTGTCTTCCACAAAACTGGTCCCTGGTTTGAAAAAGTTTGGGGATCACTGCTCTAAAGAGAGAATTACTCAGAATAAAGCCCAGTCCTTCCAAACTAAACATCAGCGCCTTGGAGTATATCTTCACCCCTCCTCTTTGTCCTTTGGACCATTCATTTTCTGGTAGCCTCACTACTGTTGCTATAGAGACAGTGATGTCACCAATTGTGATTCTGATGTCACTCTCCGGTCTCAGCAAGGGGGAGGTACATGGAAGGCCGCAGGAAGAAACAAGATCTTGAGCTGAGCCAGAACATCCCAGCATCTTCGTTGACTTTAAAAGTGTGTTCTGGAGTCTTCTGTGGTTCACTGTTCCAGTGCTACAGAGGTAGGAAATCTTACTGGACTGATAAAACAGCCCATTTTCTGATCCTCTGTGGTTGGAAGGGAGAATTCAGTGACAAGCGATAGGAAGCTTTTTATATTCAACCTAGCATTGTTCTTCCGTCCAGCCAATTTTTTTTTTTTTTTTTTTTGAGATGGAGTCTCACTGTGTTGCCCAGCTGGAGTACAGTGCTGCAATCTCGGCTTGCTGCAACCTCCACCTCCTGGGTTCAAGTGATTCTTCTGCCTCAGACTCCCGAGTAGCTGAGATTATAGGCATCCACCACCTCACCTGCTAATTTTTTGTATTTTTAGTAGAGACAGGGTTTCACCATGTTGGCCAGGCTGGTCTCAAACTCCTGACCTCAAGTGATTCCCCCCGCTTCGGCCTCCCGAAGTGCTGGGATTACAGGTGTGATCCACCACACCCAGCCTGCTCAGCCAATTTTAATCTTACCTCTGAGTCCTCTGGAAATAAATGAACCTCTCCTTCAGCAGCATTAAAGTCAAACCTGCCATCTTTGCTGCTGACATTGTGATTGTGTTACAGATTTGACAAGATCTCCTCAGCCATCCTTTTGGAGACATGAAGGGTCTTACTTCCTGCTTCCCCATTTGATAGAGTAGACGCTTGGCTCCCTACTGACTTTTCCTATTCATTGTGTGGCCATTCCTAAATTTATTTTCTTTCCAGTGCCCCAGGAGCAAAATAGAACTGGTATACCCTGAGTCCAATTCTCATGCACTTTTATCCTCTCACTGTTATTTCTGAAGCCTTGGTTAGACAACAGAACTGGGAAAGGGCAGTATCTATATAGCTATGTAGTGAAAGTATCTGTACTAACAGTGATTAGAAGAAGAAGCTATTACTTAGGGAAGGTAAAAATAAAGACGTTCCCCCGGAAAGCTTAACAATGAATAGTGCCATTGAGACACACATACACACACACACACACACACACACCTTTATTTAAACAAAATCGATTGAAACTCTGATTTAATCAGCAACCAGGTTTATCGAGATTCTACAATGTAGCAGGCACTTACAGAAAGGAAGGCAGTAAAAGAGAATGGATACAAGAAACATATTCTTCCCTCTCAAAGCTAGTAATAAAACCTGGTTGAATAAACCTCAAAACTTGATCAACTACTTAGCAACCCTGCAAGAGCTTTACTTATGCTTTCTGCAATCTGAGTTTTTACATGAGTTCAGGAACCTTGGGTAAACAGGAGCCTCTCACTTAAAATGGATACAGGAGAAAACTGCCTTGAGATAGAGCTGTAGTCTAGGATACAACCACCATAACCAAGCCACTGTGTTGCTTATGCCCTTCATGACTGGCATTCAGATTTGCACTCCTCAACTTGAAGTCATCATCACATTGACATCTTTGGGGAACATTTTAGTCCAGTCCTTCTATTGGCCATGGGAAAATTTCACAGCTGCCAGAATGTTGGCAGGGCTGGAATATCTAAAGGAATATATCCGCTGATTCTAGTATTTCTTTTCTGAGCCTCAATATCCTAATCTATAAGCTGAGAGTATTAGAAAACATGGTTTCTAAGGTCTATTTATCTTTAATAGATAGCACAAAGTAATCATTTTCTCTTTTGTTTTCTACCCTAACTCCAGGATATTGTTTACCAACTTTTGAACTTATAGTAATTTATGAATCCATTCACTGACTTCATTAAACTCTTTAGATCTTCCATCTTCTTTTCCACTTCATTATAAGAAACATTGATTTAGAAATCTGAATGTTGTAATCATTAGTAAGTATTAAAGTCCCTCTTTATAGATGCTATCATCTAGGACAATTAGGAAGTTGTAAAAGTCCAAAACAAGCTTCATGATGCAGATAAACCCACACATAGGACCTAGAAAATAGAATTAAAACATTAGAACATATGTAGGTGAAGTGTTTGCTGAATATTTTTGACTAGTAGTTACGCTTTCTATGAAAAAAAAAATACAAAAGCACTTTTAAGATGTTGATTTATATGCACTAGTGGAATAGGAAGGTCTGTTAGTAAATCATTGACTAAGTCTGTGGGGTGACTGTATCTCCCAAAGGAGTCAAGCTTCAAGAAGTCTTGAATATGTGGATTACCACCATAGTAAATTTGAGCAAGCCATCTCTTTTTTGTCCTTGGATTCTCCAATCCAAAAGAAAAAATGAGCTATCTAAAAATGGGCAGACTGCATGTTCATTCTTCCAGCAGATAATTATTGAGCTCCAATTTTAAGATACTAGCTACTATGAGGGATACCAAGATGAATAGGAAAATGCCTCTCCACTTATGAAGTCACCCAATAAAGAAGATGAATATAGGGGAGCAATTAAAATACCAGATAGAATGTACATGTTGAAACAAAATGTGATGGAAACCTCAATGAGGGAGCAATCACATTCATTAGGTACCTAGAAAATATTTCATGGATGGGGTATCCCTTGACCTGGGCTAATAAGTAAGGGTAGAATTTAGAGAGCGATTACTGGGGGGCTGGGTGGATATTCAAGAAGAGAGTACAGTGCTCTAATGTCTTCCGCTGAAATGTCTGAGTAGAACCAGAACAAGGAAGTTAATTAATCTGGAAGATATCTGTGAACTTCCTTTATAACTTGAAGGTGTGTATTTCTTTCAAGTCCTCAAAGATGCATGCAAAGTGTTTTGAGTTCCATAAATTCAGGGTGCTTATTCTTCATTCCAGCTATTTTTCTTCCAGCTTCCTATTCGAGCAAGTTTAAAATTAAGCTAAAAATTTTTAGGGTCTTCGTCGTTTAAAAAGACTGTATACCAATGATTTCAAAGTGAGGAGTAACAGTCGTCATTTAAGAAATCATTGGTCCAAAAGTGGTACCTTTTTTGTCATGTGGGAACTGCCAGACTGCATCAAGAATAAGATGTGCACTCATGAAATGTGAATGTCATTTTGAGCTCATTACTTAAATGCACATGTGATAAACAATAAATAAGTCAAAATCATTATTTTGAATAAGAACAATGAGTTTCATCTGTAAAATTACTCATTTTTATCTGTGTCTTTCCATTGCAGATTCCTTATATTACATGGCAGGAGGGGGATAAACGGGGATACAGGAGACAACAATAAATTAATCAAGAGCTTTCCTCATATCTCAGAACCTATCCTCAGTAAGAGTAAGTGGTCACATAGTTTCTGTACTTTTTGTACATAATTATCAGCATTTTGATTATATATAACTGAAATAAGGCAATAGATCCTATTGATTTTGTCACAATTTTCTATTAGAAGTAACTCATTTGGATGAAATATAAACTGAAGATTAAGAGATTGTGTTTCTGGCTCTCACTTTTACTATCAATAATCTAGGACAACCTGCTTCTGAGTCTTCCAATTCTTTGGCCAAATAGTAATAGCATTCATTATTTTCTTTATAGTAATGATGCAAGCATAATAATATTTATATGTATGTATGTTTATGAAGAGGACATTACAGAGTTTAACTTCATAGACATTAGCAACTTCTTTGTTAAGATAACAAAACATTAAAATAAGATACCGAAGAAAACTAGGAAATCTGGCCGGGTGCGGTGGCCCACACCTGCAATCCCAGCACTTTGGGAGGCCAAGGCTGGTGGATTGCTTGAGGTCAGAAGTTCGAGACCAGCCTGGCCAACATGGTGAAACCCTGTCCCTACTAAAAATACAAAAATTAGTCAGATGTTGTGTGCCTGGTGTAGTCCCAGCTACTTGGGAGGCTGAGGCAGGTAATCATCACATTAACATTTTTGAGGAACATTTTAATCCAATCCTTCTATTGGCCATGGGAAAATTTGACAGCTTCCAGGATGTTAGCAGGGCTGGAATATCTAAAGGAATTAGATATTCCCTTGGGAAGCAGAGGTTGCAGTGAGCATCCTGGGAGGCAGATGTTGCAGTGATCCGAAATCACGCCAGTACACTCCAACCTGGCCGACAGAGTGAGACTTTGTCCCTCCCTCCCCTGAAAAAAGAAAGAAAGTTAGAAAATCTGTCTCAGAGAAAATTTTTAAAGAAATGGGTAAATAATTATCTTTCTGGACCTACCCTGTTTTTCTCACAGAGTCTCTCCAGATAAGCCCTGGTCTAGGAATTCTTAATTCTTGATGTGTTTTAGAATCACTCAGGGAGCATTTAAGAATTTTAAGCGGCCGGGCGTGGTGGCTCAAGCCTGTAATCCCAGCACTTTGGGAGGCCGAGGCGGGTGGATCACGAGGTAAGGAGATCGAGACCATCCTGGCTAACATGGTGAAATCCCGTCTCTACTAAAAATACAATAAACTAGCCGGGCGTGGTGGCGGGCGCCTGTAGTCCCAGCTACTCGGAGGCTGAGGCGGGAGAATGGCATGAACCCGGGAGGCGGAGCGTGCACTGAGCCAAGGTCGCGCCACTGCACTCCAGCCTGGGTGACACAGCGAGACTCCGTCTCAAAAAAAAAAAAAAAAAAGAATTTTAAGAATGCCTAAGTTTCCCCAACCAAAAACCATTAAAATAAGCTTTTCGGGGGGTGGTAACTTGGATTCAGTATCTTTACACAGTTCTCTCGGTGATGCTCCTGTCTAATTAGGGTGGAGAACCCACTGTTTACCGAAGGAATCCATTGTATTTGAGTGCCTGGAAGATTAAAATAAACTGCTTCCTTAGCTCTAATCTGAGTGAGTGACTTCTGTGTGAAAATGAGTACAAATCCTTGTGGGAGCAAAGAATAAGTATCTCTTAAGAGATCTTGTATTTTCTTTGAAACGATTATCTAAAACACCCTGTATAACAAAAATGACATATCCACTTATATAAGTTTCAATGATGTATTTAATCTTTCTTTGATCTGTGTTGGTTTTATTTTGAGGGAGGACATCTCACCCTCACCGTAGTCCAAAGTCCTTTAAAACAAATATTTCCAGTTAACCAGATGTTCATGCCTTAATACTGCTTTACTTATTTCAAGCAATTCTTCATAAAACACAATTTCACTATAAAAAATTAGGATAAGTTGTTGGATTTCGTTATAACAGTATTTTAAACCAGTATTTGTTGGAATCAAAGCACAGAGATATTCTATTTCATATAGATGTTTGAGGCATTGGGGAGGAGACATGGGCTATCTTATTCCACTTTGATAATTGAGAAGTAAAGATCTGAGCAGAGTTTTTTTGCTTTTACATTTTTTAACGCCACCAACCCAAATGTCCATCAATGATAGACTGGATTAAGAAAATGTGGCACATATACACCATAGAATACTATGCAGCCATAAAAAAGGATGAGTTCATGTCCTTTGTAGGGACATGGATGAAGCTGGAAACCATCATTCTCAGCAAACTATCACAAGGACAGAAAACCAAACACCGCATGTTCTCATTCATAGGTGGGAACTGAACAATGAGAACACTTGGACACAGGGCGGGGAACATCACACACTGGGGCCTGTCATGGGGTGGGGAGATGAGGGAGGGATAGCATTAGGAGAAATATGTAATGTAAATGACGAGTTAATGGGTGCAGCAAACCAACACGGCACACGTATACATATGTAACAAACCTGCACGTTGTTTGTACCCTAGAACTTAAAGTATAATTTTATAAAAGAAAAAAAAGAAAAAAGAAAAGAAAAGAAAATATTACTGCACCCCCTCCAAAAAAATTTTTTTTAATGCCAACTGAGCCTAGGTGATGAACAGGGAAGGAGGGGTGAGCTAAGCAGAGAATATAAGAAGGGAAACTTCAGTGTGGAAGCCTGGGAATGGAAGTCTGGCATAGAAAAAGAGGGCAAAGAGAAGGTTCTCATACTTTTAGATGATCAGTGGATAACTCTAAGTCATCATGAGAGTTGGCCGTGTTTTCAAAGACTACCAAGTAAGATTCAATGTTGTGGAAAGTGTGTGACACTAAGGCCAAAGCCCAAAGGAGTACATAGAATAAGTACTATGATACTCAGTTGTGAGGAGAATCAATGAAAGCCACAGGTATAAGCAATTTGTTTAAGAAAAATGACTGCAAATGGAAAAAGAGAGAAATAGTAGCTAGAGGGAAACTTGGGGTGGAATAAGACAATTAAAGTGAATCTCAGTTTTCTGGCTTAGAAGACCAGGTAAGTGGTGGTGCTATTACTGAGATTAGGGAATATACCAAAGTATTTAGGAGGTTGTGAACGAATTCAGATCAGCAAGGGAATCACTGCATCCATGGACAAAGGTCCTTTGAATGGCGCACATGACATCTCTTTTGTCTTGACTGATATTCAGAAATTGGGCTGAACCATAGAGGCTGAGAATTCCCCCAGGATCCTTGGCTAATTAGAAGAGATGGGTCTTAAGAAAGAAGTACCAGACTTACTGCTAGTATGAGTAAGTTACAGCTTTAGAAAGGAATTAAAAATAGGTGGATACAGTGGTTCCAAGATGTCCAAACAGGAACAGCTCCAATCTACAGCTCCCAGCGTGAACAACACAGAAGACAGGTGATTTCTGCATTTCCAACTGAGGTACCGGGTTCATTTCACTGGGACTTGTCAGACAGTGGGTGCAGTACAGTGGGTGCAGCCACCAAGCATGAGCTGAAGCAGGGCAAGGCATCGCCTCACCTGGGAAGTGGAAGGGGTCAGGGAATTCCCTTTCCTAGCCAAGGGAAGCTGTGACAGATGGCACCTGGAAAATCGGGTCACTCCCACCCGAATACTGCGCTTTTCCAATGGTCTCAGCAAATGGCACACCAGGAGATTATATCCCACGCCTGGCTCGGAGGGTCCCACGCCCACAGAGCCTCGCTCATTGCTAGCCCAGCAGTCTGAGATCTGCAAGGCGGCAGGGAGGCTGGGGGAGGGGAGCCCGCCATTGCTGAGGCTTGAGTAGGTAAACAAAGCGGCCTGGAAACCTGAACTGGGAGGAGCCCACCGCAGCTCAAGGAGGCCTGCCTGCCTCTGTAGACTCCACCTCTTGGGGCAGGGCATAGCCAAACAAAAGGCAGCAGAAACCACTGCAGACTTAAATGTCCTGGTCTGACAACTTTGAAGAGAGTAGTGGTTCTCTCAGCACAGAGTTTGAGATCTGAGAATGGACAGACTGCCTCCTCAAGTGGGTCCCTGTCCCCCAAGTAGCCTAACTGGGAGGCACTCCCCAGTAGGGGCATATTGACACCCCACACAGCCAGGTACCCCTCTGAGACAAAGCTTCCAGAGGAACGATCAGGCAGCAACATCTGCTGTTCAGCAATATTCGCTGTTCTGCAGCCTCCGCTGCTGATACCCAGGCAAACAGAGTCTGGAGTGGACCTCCAGCAAACTCCAACACACCTGCAGCTGAGGGTCCTGACTGTTAGAAGGAAAACTAACAAACAGAAAGGACATCCACACCAAAACCCCATCTGTATGTCACCATCATCAAAGACCAAAGGTAGATAAAACCACAAAGATGGGGAAAAAAACAGAGCAGAAAAGCTGAAACTTCTAAAAATCAGAACGCCTCTCCCCCTCCAAGGGAACACAGCTCCTCACCAGCAATGGAACAAAGCTGGACGGAGAATGACTTTGACGAGTTGAGAGAAGAAGTCTTCAGACGATCAAACTTCTCCGAGCTAAAGGAGGAAGTTCGAACCCATCGCAAAGAAGCTAAAACCTTGAAAAAAGATCAGACAAATGGCGAACTAGAATAACCAGTGTAGAGAAGTCCTTAAATGACCTGATGCAGCTGAAAACCATGGCACAAGAACTATGTGACGAATGCACAAGCTTCAGTAGCCGACTCGATCAACTGGAAGAAAGGGTATCAGTGATTGAAGATCAAATGAATGAAATGAAGTGAGAAGAAAAGTTTAGAGAACAAAAGAGTAAAAAGAAACTAGCAAAGCTTCCAAGAAATATGGGACTATGTAATTCTACGTCTGATTGGTGTACCTGAAAGTGACACAGAGAATGGAACCAAGTTGGAAAACACTCTGCAGGAACTTCCCCAACCTAGCAAGGCAGGCCAACATTCAAATTCAGGAAATATGGAGAACCCCACAAAGATACTCCTTGAGAAGAGCAACTCCAAGACACATAATTGTCAGATTCACCAAAGTTGAAATGAAGGAAAAAATGTTAAGGGCAGCCAGAGAGAAAGGTTGGGTTACACACAAAGGGAAGCCCATCAGACTAACAGCAGAGCTCTCAGCAGAAACTCTCCAAGCCAGAAGAGAGTGGGGGCCAATATTCAACATTCTTAAAGAAAAGAATTTTCAACCCAGAGTTTCATATCCAGCCAAACTAAGTTTCATAAGCGAAGGAGAAATGAAATCCTTTACAACTGAGAGATTTTGTCACCACCAGGCCTGCCGTACAAGAGCTGCTGAAGGAAGCACTAAACATGGAAAGGAACAACTGCTACCAGCCACAGCAAAAACATGCCAAATTGTAAAGACCATCAATGCTAGGAAGAAACCGCATCAACTAACGAGCAAAATAACCAGCTAACATCATAACGACAGAATCAAATTCACACATAATAATATTAACCTTAAATGTAAATGGGCTAAATGCTCCAACTAAAAGACACAGACTGGCAAATTGGATAAAGAGTCAAGACCCATCAGTGTGCTGTATTTAGGAGACCCATCTTATGTGCAGAGACACACATAGGCTCAAAATAAAGGGATGAAGGAAGATCTACCAAGCAAATGGAAAACAAAAAACGGCAAGGGTTGCAATCCTAGTCTCTGATAAAACAGACTTTAAACCAACAAAGATCAAAAGGGACAAAGAAGGCCATTACATAATGGTAAAGGAATCAATTCAACAAGAAGAGCTAACTATGCTAAATATATATGCACCCAATACAGGAGCACCCAGATTCATAAAGCAAGTCCTTAGAGACCTACAAAGAGACTGAGACTCCCACACAATAATAATGGGATACTTTAACACCCCACTGTCAACATTAGATAGATCAATGAGACAAAATTAAAAAGGATATCCAGGAATTGAACTCAACTCTGCACCAAGCAGACCTAATAGACATCTAGAGAACTCTCCACCCCAGATCAACAGAATATACATTCTTCTCAGCACCACATCACACTCCAAAACTGACCACATAGTTGGAAGTAAAGCACTCCTCAGCAAATGTAAAAGAACATAAATTATAACAAACTGTCTCTCAGACCACAGTGCAATCAAACTAGAACTCAGGATTAAGAAACTCACTCAAAACTGCTCAACTACATGGAAACTGAACAACCTGCTCCTGAATGATTACTGGGTACATAACGAAATGAAGGCAGAAATAAAGATGCTCTTTGAAACCACTGAGAACAAAGACAAAACATACCAGAATGTCTGGGACACATTTAAAGCAGTGTGTAGAGGGAAATTTATAGCACTAAATGCCCACAAGAGAAAGCAGGAAAGATCTAAAATTGACACCCTAACATCACAATTAAAAGAACTAGAGAAGCAAGAGCAAACACATTCAAAAGCTAGCAGAAGGCAAGAAGAAAACTAAGATCAGAGCAGAACTGAAGGAGATAGAGACACAAAAAATCCTTCAAAAAATCAATAAATCCAGGAGGTGGTCTTTTGAAAAGATCAACAAAATTGATAGACCACTAGCAAGACTAATAAAGGAGAAAAGAGAGAAGAATCAAATAGACGCAATAAAAAATGATAAAGGGGATAGATATCACCACCAATCCCACAGAAATACAAACTACCATCAGAGAATACTATAAATACCTCTATGCAAATAAACTGGAAAATCTAGAAGAAATGGATAAATTCCTCGACACATACACCCTCCCAAGACTAAACCAGGAAGAAGTTGAATCCCTGAATAGACCAATAACAGGCTCTGAAATTGAGGCAATAATTAACAGCCTACCAACCAAAAAAAGTCCAGGACCAGATGGATTCACAGCCAAATTCTACCAGAGGTACAAGGAGGAGCTGGTACCATTTCTTCTGAAACTATTCCAATCAATAGAAGACGAGGGAATCCTCCCTAATTCGTTTTATGAGGCCAATATCATCCTGATACCAAAGCCTGGCAGAAACACAACAAAAAAGAATTTTAGACCAATATCCCTGATGAACATCGATGTAAAAATCCTCAATAAAATATTGGCAAACCAAATCCAGCAGCACATCAAAAAGCTTATCCACCATGATCAAGTGGGCTTCATCCCTGGGATGCAAGGCTGGTTCAACATATGCAAATCAATAAACGTAATCCATCATATAAACAGAACAAAAGATAAAAACCACATGATTATCTCAAAAGTTGCAGAAAAGTCCTTTGACAAAATTCAACAGCCCTTCATGCTAAAAACTCTCAATAAATTAGGTATTGATGGGATGTATCTCAAAATAATAAGAGCTATTTATGACAGACCCACAGCCAATATCATACTGAATGGGCAAAAACTGGAAGCATTCCCTTTGAAAACTGGCACAAGACAGGGATGCCCTCTCTCACCACTCCTATTCAACATAGTGTTGGAAGTTCTGGCCAGGGCAATCAGGCAGGAGAAATAAATAAAGGGTATTCAATTAGGAAAAGAGGAAGTCGAATTGCCCCTGTTTGCAGATGACATGATTGTATATTTAGAAAACCCTTCAGCCCAAAATCTCCTTAAGCTGATAAGCAACTTCAGCAAAGTCTCAGGATACAAAACCAATGTGCAAAAATCACAAACATTCTTATACACCAATAACAGACAAACAGAGAGCCAAGTCATGAGTGAACTACCATTACAATTGCTTCAAAGAGAATAAAATACTTAGGAATCCAACTTGCAAGGGATGTGAAGGACCTCTTCAAGGAGAACTACAAACCACTGCTCAACAAAATAAAAGGACACAAACAAATAGAGGAACATTCCATGCTCATGGATAGGAAGAATCGATATTGTGAGAATGGCCATACTGCCCAAGGTAATTTATAGATTCAGTGCCATCCCCATCAAGCTACCAATGACTTTCTTCACAGAATTGGAAAAACTACTTTAAAGTTCACATGGAACCAAAAAAAGAGCCCGCATTGCCAAGACAATCCTAAACCAAAAGAACAAAGCTGGAGGCATCATGCTACCTGACTTCAAACTATACTACAAGGCTACAGTAACCAAAACAGCATGGTACTGGTACCAAAACAGGTATATAGACCAATGGAACAGAACAGAGCCCTAGGAAATAATTCCACACATCTATAACCATCTGATCTTTGACAAACCGGAAAAAAACAAGAAATAGGGAAAGGATTCCCTATTTAATAAATGGTACTGGGAAAACTGGCTAGCCATATGTAGAAAGCTGAAACTGGATCTCTTCCTTACACCTTATACAAAAATTAATTCAAGATGGATTAAAGACTTAAATGTTAGACATAAAACCATAAAAACCCTAGAAGAAGACCTAGGCTATTATACCATTCAGGACATAGGCATGGGCAAGGACTTCATGTCTAAAACACCAAAAGCAATGGCAACAAAAGCCAAAATTGACAAATGGGATATAATTAAACTAAAGAGCTTCTGCACAGCAAAATAAACTACCATCAGACTGAACAGGCAACCTGCAGAATGGGAGAAAATTTTTGCAATCTACTCATCTGACAAAGGGCTAATATCCAGAATCTATAAAGAACTCAAACAAACTTACAAGAAAAAAACAACCCCATCAAAAAGTGGGCAAAGGCTATGAACAGACACTTCTCAAAAGAAGACATTTATGCAGCCAACAGACACATGAAAAAATGCTCATCATCACTGGCCATCAGAGAAATGCAAATCAAAACCACAATGAGATACCATCTCACAACAGTTAGAATGGCGATCATTAAAAAGTCAGGAAACAACAGGTGCTGGAGAGGATGTGGAGAAATAGGAACACTTTTACACTTTGGTGGGACTGTAAACTAGTTCAACCACTGTGGAAGACTTGTGGCGATTCCTCAAGGATCTAGAACTAGAAATACCATTTGACCCAGCCATCCCATTACTGGCTATATACCCAAAGGATTATAAATCATGCTGCTATAAAGGCACATGCACATGTATGTTTATTGTGGCACTATTCACAGTAGCAAAAACTTGGAACCAGCCCAAATGTCCATCAATGATAGACTGGATTAAGAAAATGTGGCACATGTACACCATGGAATACTATAAGGATGAGTTCATGTCCTTTGTAGGGACATGGATGAAGCTGCAAACCATCATTCTCAGCAAACTATCATAAGGATAAAAAAACCAAACACTGCATATTCTCACTCATAGGTGGGAATTGAACAATGAGAACACTTGGACACAAGAAGGGGAACATCACACACTGGGGCCTGTCATGGGGTGGAGGTAGCGGGGAGGGATAGCATTAGGAGATATACCTAATGTAAATGACAAGTTAATGGGTGTAGCACACCAAAATGGCACATGTATACAGAGGTAACAAACCTGCACGTTGTGCACATGTTCCCTAGAACTTAAAGTATAATCAAAAAATTAGTTAAAAATAAAACAATTACTTAAAAGCTAAATTGGTGGGGCAAGAACAGACAAGGGAGCAGTAAATTAATTCTATTTTGGTCACCTTGAGTTTTGAGTGTGTACTGAAAATCCAATGGGTGCAGGGGGAGGGTCGTCAACCAAGGACATAAAAGGGCAGGACATGTCTGCCTAGGTTCATTCATTTAACAAAGGTGTGTTAAGCACCTGTAGCAGATACCAGGCACTAGCTTCTTCCTTAGAGGTACAAATATGTTTAAGGAATCTTCCTTCCATTGAGAGCTGAGGATGAAGATATTCAGAGTGGAGTGGGTCTGAAGTGGCTGTTGGGGAAGGTTTCTACTGAAGGCATTGTTCGTATTTCCCACACCTTAGCCCTTCACCACATTTCTTCTTACTTTCATAAAATCTGCCCTTCTGACGACCCTTTCTCATTTTTTTTCCTACTTCCAGATGGCAGATAAGGTTGACTGGTTACAAAGCCAAAATGGAGTATGCAAAGTTGATGTCTATTCTCCTGGAGACAACCAAGCCCAGGACTGGAAAATGGTAAGGGTCAACCTCTTAATAAACACTAGGTTAAGAATATGGGGGTGGTCATTAAGAGTGGCCTTATTCTCTCCACCATACCCCCAGCCTCTTATTTTTCAAGGTGGGATTCTTGAGGCAGGTGGGAAATCAGCCCCTATAGAACAAAACATTCCAATTTATAGTTTTCTGGAAAAAATTCCCATCCTATGGTATTTAATATGCTATAACTAATGAAACATATATGTACACATGAGCCGTATATCATATATGTATATATAAATATGTATATGTCAGCTGTATATTACAGCTATAAAATTTTAATTTTCAAACAGAGAGGAATTGGAGATAAATGTCTCCAAGGCTTATAGAGAATATTTTCTAAAATGTAGGATGCCTTAAAATTCTCAGAACTATAAACTGTCATCTAAGTAACATTGTCATCCTGCCTTCATCATTCAACGAACATTTATTAAATGCTTACTTAGTATAAGGCAATGTATTAGTCAGGGTCTAGTTAGAAGATAGAAACCATACCAGTAACTTAACATTTAAAAATTATTTACTAATAAAACATAGTTAACTACTAAAAGGCATAAAAGAGGACTCTAGGAATCTCAGAAATAACAAATGCAGAAAGCAGCTACTACCCCCAGGCTGAGATTACATAAACAGGGAAGAAACTAAGTAATACTCACAAGAGCTCCTTCTCCTTCAACCAAAGCTGCTTCCCATCTCTTTGGAGAGAATGTGGCTGCCACAGGAAACTTGCCAGAGGGAAGCCCTTTCCTCCTGCTCTGACCACGCAGTGTCCCCCAGTACCCTCTGTCGACAAAGCCAACTGCAAAGGAGAAATGTTTAGGGTTCAGCTGTGGTGTCACAAAGCAAGGCAAAGAAAGGTGGATTTGGAGTGAGAGACAATAAATCAATAACTGGCACAGAGACTGTACTGACTGTCAGGGTCAGAGATATAAAAATAAACTAGAATCCTCTCCTTTTAAGGATCTCATAATCTAATGGAATCACTATTATTAATAGACTCTTTGTACTATTACAACATTTATCAGACTGGGCACAGTGGCTCACACCTGAAATCCCAACTCTTTGCGGGGCCAAGGCAGGAAGACTGTTTGAGCCCAGGAGTTGGAGACCAGCCTGGGCAACATGGTGAAACTCTGTCTTTACTTAAAAAAGAATTAGCCAGAGTGGAGGCACGCCCCTGTAGTTCCAGCAACTTGAGAGGCTGAGGCAGGAGAATCACTTGAGCCCAGAAGTTTGAGGTCGCAGTGAGCTATGACCATGCCACTGTGCTCCAGCCTGGGCAACAGTGAGACCCTGTCTCAAAAAAAAAAAAAAGTTAACATTTATCAAACATTTATTTGCATGTAATCAAATGCAAATGACCCGTCTTCTTCTATTTGTCCAAATCTGGCCCATCTATCGAAAGTTTTAAAGAGAAAATGCTAACAAATCTACATAAGACATTAAGACATAAAGATAATAAATATTCAATTACTACAGAGTGAGGGCCAACCAAAACTGCTTCTACTAGATCTTTGTTTATTTCTGCCCTTTCATTTGGAGAAACAAAAGGCAGATCAGTTTCAATGTTAAATCAAATGAACTTAGTGATTTTTCACTAAGTGAGAAACAAGAAAGAATATAACAATTACTGCCCCTCTGAACCTTATCATTCATTTTGGAAAATAAAAAAATACGCATATGAAAGTAGAAATGTCGGTGAGGGTAGCGGCTCCGGCCCCGAGAGCAGATGCCATGGCCCCCACTACCACCACTGCCACAGACTCGCTCTCGTCCTCTGGGCCGCACCTGGGGCTTCAGCCCGCGGCTCCGCTTGCCGCGTCTCAGGTTTCTTTACCTCCAGAAAGAACAAAATTGACCCATTGAATTCTGGAAGTTCATTGAAGAGTCTGAAATTAGGGACTTATTTCAAATTTGAACATGGCTAATCGAGGCACAAGAAGACCCAACGGCCCAAATACTGGACATAAAATATGCCAGTTCAAACGAGTACTTCTGGGAGAGTCTGCTCTTGGCAAACCAAGCCTAGTGCTTCGTTTTGTGAAAGGCCAATTTCATGAATTTCAAGAGAGTACCATTGGGTTAACTCTCAAAGTGGTGAAAGCTGTTTCTTTGTGAAATATGGGCCCAAAAAGAAAACCAACTGCTAGTGCTGGTGATGGAAGTGAAGAGAAAATGAAGAGATCTAAGAGTGATGATGGTTCTTAGCCAGAAAATAGACATTTTGGATAAATTAAAGTGGTTTCACAGATTCAGCTGATTTTCTAACCCAAACTGTGTGTCTTGATGACACTACGGTATAGTTTGAAATATGGGATACAGCTGGTCAAGAACAATACCGCAGCCTAGCACCAATGTACTGCAGAGGAGCACAAACAGCCATCGTTGTATACGATATCACAAATGAGGAGTCCTTTGCAAGTGCGAAAAATTGGGCTGAAGAACTTCAGAGGCAAGCATGTCCTGACATTGTAATAGCTTTATCAGGAAACAAGGCTGACCTAGCAAATAAAAGAGCAGTAGATTTTCCAGGAAGCACAGCCCTATGCAGATGACAATAGTTTATTATTCATGAAGACATCAGCTAAAACATCAATGAATGTAAATGAAATGTTCATGGCAATAGCTAAAAAATTGCCAAAGAATGAACCACGAAATGCAGGAGCAAACTCTGCCAGGGGAAGAGGAGTAGCCCTTACTGAACCCACACAACCAACCAGGAGTCAGTGTGTAGTAATTAAACCTCCAGTTGGAACTAGCTGGAATAGTCTTCTGCTTCTTAAATGTTAGTAACAATGCAATTGGACCATTTAACCAGCCCAGTGTGACTTCCAAAAGAAGAGACTTTAATAGAGTCAAGTTTCTAATACAGAATTATTTTACGTGTTTTGAACTTAATTTTTAATAACATGCATGGGTCCCTCTTACTAATGTTACAGCAATAAGGAAAAACGAGGACTATGTGTACATTTGGTTTCATTGGAAGGTTGGGGGAATAATTTCTCATCACTAGGAATATAGGCAAATGACTATCTGGACCCACAGTTAACCAGCCCATTTGTCCACACTGATACAGTAGTCACCTGTGAAAAAAATTTAGAATTTACTAATTTGGGCTTTTCAAAAACATTCTTTTTGTAGAAGGAGATTCTAAAGTTATTTATGCTTAGCCGTAGTATTAGGGCAAATGTTCATTTTCTCCTGGTATCAGTATTTAAAATGAACATTACATATTTTAATAAATTATGCCACATATACAAGGTGGGGGGTAGGTGGAAAGAGTGTTAATGGCATCTAAATTATAGCCAGTCCTGTTTTTTGGGGTTTTTTTCTTAATGGGGTAAAAAAAATCAAATGCAACCCCATCTTGTTTTAGGAATTTGAGAACTAATAAATGCATCTTAATGGATAGTGTTTCTTTCAAACATGTGAGTTCTTTAACAAAAATGAAATAAGCCAGGTGTCTGTGATTTCTAATTAATCACTGCTGGCCATGACATAGGTTTTGTTGTTTGATGCAGGGAGGGGACTTTCGTTCGCTTGTGACACAATGTAGTCAATGCACTAACAATTATGTATATTTAAACTTCATTATTTTAAATTCCATCTTCAGCTGTACTGTCAATAGCGTACTGCAGTATAGTCTCCATATATGTATCACTTTTCTGTAATGTTTAAGAGTTGCTTAAAAGTATACAAAATGTACAGTTACTAAAACAGCCAATTGTTTCTCTCTCCCCCTTTGACAGGAAGGGGCTTCAGTTGTTCCTCCATGACTAGAACCATAACGAACAATGTACCCATAATTTGTAACATAAAGTATTGCAATATGTTAGTAACAATCTTGCAGCCTTGTTTTCCAACCTTCATTTTATTTTGATCAGTTCAGTATATTGCACTAATTATTTTCGGTATTTTCCTTATATGAGAACTACCATGTGTCAGAGACAATTTAATCTATGTAAATGTTGGACTGTTAGGAGAACTTGTACATTTACAATAATGCAGAATTAGGAAAATGGGTCACCAGCGTTTAGTTTTATATTGAGGTTCTCAGGTTTGAATAAAGTGGTATAAAAAGCAAAAAAAAAAAGAATATAGAAATGTCACTTGAAAGTGCTGAATAACTGTTGGACTAATGAAAAGCAGTTCATGATTATTTGTCGGATGTATTTTCTAGACAATAAATGCTGTAAGTGTTTAAAGAATTGATCATTTCAAAATGGGAGGTGGTCAGAGAAAATTTTATAAAGTATGTTTAATTGAGACAAAGGTAGAGAAGAGAAATAGGACAGGGAGGTAGATAGCTGACTTAAAACTACTGAAGCAAAAGATGGTGAGCAGAGAAAATAAAACCCATTAATTCTTTTTATATTATCCTTCATGGACATGAAAATGTGCCTCAGGATTCAGAAATACTGAGATAATTTGGCATCTAACTTCCCTAACTGCTCAGAATACTATTGCGTAAGAAGAGGAAGGTTGCAAGAGGATAAAGGGGTTTGGAGAGATGGATGTTTGGTCATGGACTGCATTGATAAGAAAGGAAATGTGGGTACTTAGTTTTCAGTCACTACAGTTTGATTAACACCTTTTGCAAAATCCTTGTGGATAGAGGGGAATAATAAACATACGGTATACACATTTTAGGTTTAAAAATATATAGACATCAAAAACCCATAAACACAGCAACTTAACACAATTCTGTGGACTCCATTGTAAAGCTCTATACTATGCTGTAGGTTTGGTTTTTTATTTTTATTTTTTTTAATTTTATTTATCTTTTAAAATATATTCTTTGTAGAGATGGGTTTTCGCCATGTTGCCCAGGCTGGTCTCAAACTCCTGAACTCAAGCGAGATCTGCCTACCTTGGCCTCCCAAGGTGATGGGACTGCAGGCGTGAGCCACTACCCCCAATCAGTTTGGGTTTGTTGTTTTTTTAAAAAAATTGAAAAGGGCAAAAGAATAAACCCCACAGCTTCACTCTAGTAAGGCTTTCCTGTACTGTTACAGCCCAATTATGGAAACACACCTATTTGCAAGTTGATGTGCTTGTTCGTAAATAGTTACCATTTTCAAAAAAAGGGTAAAATTATCACTTCAATACAGAGACAAAAATGAATACATATGAAAGATTGTATCCACCTCAGTAGTGAGGAAATCAGTTAGGTATTACCACCAGTTCAAAGGAGAATTCTTTAAAGATACACTTATAGATCAGGAATATTGAAATAAATGTGCAAACAAAAGTAAAACTGACCTGCTCCACAATGGGGAAGGGAAATCAACCAGACTTCCACTAGACGGAATTTTCCCAACTATAGACAAGAGTTGTTTGGCATTGCTATCAATTATCTACAGCTTGCAGAACTGTAAAATAGCTCCCACAGACTGAGAATCAGGTAATGTGGAAGACTGAAGACAATACTTAGTCTGTAGGCTATAGACAATGCTTAGTTTCCTATTGAAGCACAACTTTTTTCCCTGTAGGCTTCCCCATTTTGATAAAAATTAAAATAATCTCAAGGTAAGATTATTCTTGACCACAAAATGAGGCTAGTCTCATTAGATTTGGCCTGGTTATTTACATAGGTGCAGCAACTGGATAGGCCTAAGTATGCTTTACCGGAAGTTCTCATAAGGAATCTCAGATTGGATTTTTAAAGCCCTCTATTGGCCGGGCGCGGTGGCTCACGCCTGTAGCGCCAGCACTTTGGGAGGCCGAGACGGGCGGATCACGAGGTCAGGAGATCAAGACCATCCAGGCTAACGCGGTGAAACCCCGTCTCTACTAAAAACACAAAAAAATTAGCTGGGTGTGGTGGCGGCACCTGTAGTCTCAGCTACTCGGGAGGCTGAGGCAGGAGAATGGCGTGAACCCGGGAGGCGGAGCTTGCAGTGAGCCGAGATCGCGCCACTGCACTCCAGCCTGGGTGACAGAGCCAGACTCCGTCTCAAAAAAAAAAGCCCTGTATTGTTTACTGTCCTGAGATTAGGAGGTCAAGCCTAAGAAATGCTCTCCACCAGGTTTCACCTGCAGTCCCTAGGAAAACAAGCAGGTATACATTTCGACTTCTCTGAAATAGTCTAAACCACTAATATTAATTATAACTGCTAACCCAAAGTTAACAGTTATGATGATGAAAGAATATACCCTCTTTCTATATCACAAAAAAACTAGGGGTGAGGAGTATATAATTGGGAACATCACACACCAGCTGAAATGCAGATGAGTAGAACTCGTGACTGCAGAGGAAGACGATTCCTCCAGTCACATACACCCCTTATACTACCTAAGCGGAGAAGATGAACAGACTCATTAACAGACTTAAAGATATAACCTCTCTATAAGTGATTAAAAAAATAAGCAAAAGCATATAAACTTTATGCTTGGCCATCAATGTCTCAGTGTTCCATCTTACTTAGAAATGATCTACATATCCAATGAATACGCATTAACTCAATGTAATACCATCCAGTGTTTTAAGTTATATAAAGATGTTGGAAACTTATCATTAGGCTGACATACTACAAAACATAATAACTGTTGAAATAAAGTTTGTCAGAATGATTATTGAACTTTCTTAAATGCAAATTTACATTTTTCATAATCTTAAACATTAAATAGAAGTAATGCTGGCATTTTTGGATCTGTAAACCTGTATAAGTTTATGAAAAGCATATCAAAGTAAAATAAAAGCATACAATCATATAATCTTTAACATTGATAAATAAAAGACATAGCTGTTTTTATTAAACCAAAATTATTCAACTAGTATTATTTGCCAAAGATTTACCTAACTTATGTGAACTTGGGTTTCTAAAATGTTTCTGAGGTAGGTTCTGTAAAAATACTTTTTTTTCTTCGCATTCCCCTTGAATATTTTAAATATTAAGAGCTTGATTTCCTCATTTTTGAGGGATATCAAGAATATGTAATTTACATAAGTGTATGTTTGTGTGTGTGTGTGTGTGTGTGTGTGAGCATGCACCAGTCAGAATAAACATCCTTTAAGAGACTTCGTAGTATAACACATGAATACTCTCTGGAGCAAGACATTGCTGCTTCCACCGAACATTTTCTGAATTACAGACACATTTTCTGAATTACAGACACATAGCAATACAGACACTGATAGAGACAGTTTATAGCTTCAATTCTAAACTTTCAGCCATACTTTGTGTCAAAAATAAACCAGAAACATAAAACTCACCTGTCCAGATATCAAAGAGCACTTCTCCTTCCAAGTGAGCACAAATGTCTTAACTGATGAACTTAAGGTGGACAAAAAATACTGTCAAAACAAATTTTCTGTTGCCTCGCACCCAACAGAGGATATAACTCTATAAATCATGAATCCACAAAAGAGATTACCAAATGGTCAGACAATAAAATCAAATTTCCAATCATTGCTGCCACCAATTGGCCAGAAACAAACTGAAATGAGAACCAAACCAAAATTAGTAGAGAGGAAAATTAGAACTAGAAAAACCGAATGTCTGCAAACTTCTATTGCCACTCTGGGGGCTGAGAAAAGACACGCCTGGTGCACCTGTCTCTTGAGGACGTTTATCTCCATTAGGTGGATCTATTGGGCATCTTGGCACAAGACTTCCAAAACCGTTAAAAGATAATTCTCAAAGAAGGGTAAAATAATGACTCCCATACATATACAAAAATGAATATGTGTTAAAGATTTTATTTAACTCATTAACAAGGAACTGGTGAGGTTCAAAAGACACATATAGCTTGGAGATATTGAAGTGCGTGTGCCATTGGAGGCAAAACTGACCTTCTCTGCAGTGGGAGAGGCAGTCAGTGGACCCTCCCCTTATAGGTGTCTAGACAAGAATTATATTGCATTGATGTCAGTTATCCACAGTTAATAGAGTTGTAAAATAGCTCCAAGAGAATGAGAATCAGATAATTTGGAAGGGTGTGCTATAGACGATGTGTGGTTTTCCGCTAAAGCTCAAAATACCCCATATAGTAGCTATTATTCTAATTAGGAGAACCACTGGGAGCATTTTGAACCAAGCACAATGGACCTTAACTCCGACATGGTAACAAGCCACTTAAACCAGTCCTGCAGACAACTAGCACAACTGCTTTTCCTTTCTTTCCAAGTAATCAAAGCACAGCAGGATATTGTAGAGGTGGAGAGCCCAGATTTTAGAATCAGAATTGGATCTGAATATGAAACCCCACCATGCTGTGAGATGCCCGGCAAACTATTTAACTTCTCTAAGTCTCTGTTTTCTTACCCGTGAAATTGGAAGAATAAAACCTATCTTACTAGGCGAATATGAGGATTAAACAAAATAGTGCATGTAAAGCATTTAGCACAGTGCCTGGCAAACATTACAAGTACTTCACAAATAGTAACTAGTAACTATATGACACTTGGTAATAAAAATACCAAATTGTTCTTTAAAGGTGGGCAATATTTGTGGTCATTCTCAGATAGATATATGAACTCCAATAATTACAGTGATTCTTTACATTTAATAATAAATAGGACACTTTCATATATATTATGCTATTTTATCTTATGTTTCAGAGTTTTTCCCACATGCAGATGGTACAGTTTATAAACATGTAAAAGTGTTCATATGCTTATCACAGCTAGTGTCCATCAAAGAATCTGTATTCACACAAAACGAATAAATTGCCCATACATATTAACTCCTGAATTATAAATCAGATTGTTAACTTAAATGATGTCAGTCCATTGGAAGCCCTTTGCATATCCAGATAGTGTTTGTGCAGCCTGGCAAAGTGATTAATTATGCACAATTTTCCCTGAATTTTCTCATTTTTTGGAAACTATACTTGTAATAAGATCTAAATAAAAACAGGTAAACCATAGAAAATAGCAATTAATATTAAAACAGGAAAAAATCAGATTCCATTCATATGCTAACTCTTCTATCTAGCTGATGACTGTCAGATCTGTTTTTCAATTTTTAAGTTCAGGAGTACACGTGCACGTATGTTGCATAGGTAAACTTGTGTCATGGGGGTAGTTGTACAGATTATTTCATCACCCAGGTATTAAGCCTAGTACCCATTAGTTATTTTTCCCTGTCCTCTCCGTCCTCCCTACCTCCACTCTCCAAAAGGCCCCAGTGGGTGTTGTTCCCCTCTATGTGTCCATGTGTTCTCATCATTTAGCTCCCACTTATAAGTATCAACATGTGGTATTTGGTTTTCTGTTCATGAATCAACCTAAATGCCCATCAATGATCAACTGGATAAAGAAAATGTGGTACGTATACACCATGGAATACTATGCAGCCATTAAAAAAGAATGATATCATGTCCTTTACAGGGACATGGATGGAGCTGGAGGTCTGATAGCAGACTATCAGATCTTAAAGATTTATGTCATTAGAAGCAATATAATACACTAGCTGAGCGCATGGGCTGTGGAGTCAGACTGCCAGGGCTGGAATTTCTGCTCCATCAATGGTTAGCTGTATTATTTCAAATAAGTTACAAACTTAACCTCTCAGTTCTTCAATTTCCTCCTCTGTAAAATGAGGATAATAAGAGAGCTAAATCTCAGGTTTATTATGAAACTAATTAAATGAGATAATAGTCTTAAAATACTTGGAACAACGTCTGATACACAGTGAGTACTCCATAAATGGTTACTTTTATTGCCAAGATGGAGCAATCTTGAGAGGGCTGACGACATTTGTAACTGAACTTTGAGGTTGTCTTGAATATCCCATACCTTTACTTGGTTATAGTCAGATGAATCCTTGTCTATTTTTAAGGACACCTCCACGGATCCTGTCAGAGTGCTCAGCTGGCTCCGCAGAGACCTGGAGAAAAGTACAGCAGAGTTCCAAGATGTTAGGTTCAAACCCGGAGAATCATTTGGTGGGGAAACGTCCAACTCAGGAGACCCACACAAAGGTTTCTCTGTAGACTATTACAACACCACCAAGGGCACTCCGGAAAGATTGCATTTTGAGATGACTCACAAAGAGAATCCTTGCCAGGGCCCCAGGGCCCAACTTGGCAATGGGAGTTCAGTAGATGAAGTTTCCTTCTATGCTAACCGCCTCACGAATCTAGTCATAGCCATGGCCCGCAAAGAGATCAATGAGAAGATCGATGGCTCTGAAAACAAATGTGTCCATCAGTCATTGTACATGGGGAATGAACCCCCACCCACCAAAAGCCTCAGTAAGATAGCATCAGAGCTTGTGAATGAGACCGTCTCTGCCTGTTCCAGGAATGCTGCCCCAGACAAGGCTCCTGGCTCTGGAGACAGAGCCTCAGGATCATCACAAAGTCCCCCAAATTTGAAATACAAGTCCACTTTGAAGATCGAGGAGCGCGCCAAAGAAAGACAGGGTCCAGAGGACAAGCCTGCTTCTAAGAAGTCTTTCTTCTATAAGGAAGTGTTTGAATCTCGTAATGGAGATTATGCCAGAGAGAGTGGAAGGTTCTTTCCTCGGGAGAGAAAGAGGTTTCGAGGGCAGGAAAGGCCTGATGACTTTACAGCTTCTGTTAGTGAAGGGATCATGACCTATGCTAACAGTGTGGTATCTGATATGATGGTCTCCATCATGAAGACACTGAAGATCCAAGTGAAAGACACAACCCTTGCCACCATCCTACTGAAGAAGGTTCTGCTCAAGCATGCAAAAGATGTGGTCTCGGATCTCATCGACTCCTTCATGAGGAACCTCCACAGCATCACAGGGACCCTCATGACTGACACACAGTTTGTCTCGGCTGTGAAAAGAACTGTCTTCACTCACGGAAGCCAAAAGGCCGCAGATATCATGGATGCCATGCTAAGGAAGCTGTACAATGTCATGTTTGTCAAGAAAGTCCCTGAGCATGTCAGGAAAGCCCAAGACACGGCTGAGAGTTATTCCCTCATCTCCATGAAAGGAATGGGTGATCCTAAACACCGAAATGTGAACTTTGCCATGAAATCTGAAACTAAATTGAGAGAACAAATGTATTCTGAACCCAAATCAGAGGAGGAGACTTGCGCCAAAACTCTGGGTGAACACATTATCAAAGAGGGGCTGACCTTGTGGCATAAAAGTCAACAGAAAGAATGTAAATCTCTAGGTTTCCAGCATGCAGCATGTGAAGCTCCCAACACACAGTGTAAGCCTTCACCAGACATTTCCTTTGAGTACCCTGAAGATATTTGCAACCTCAGCCCTCCTCCATATCCCCCAGAGAAACCTGAGAATTTTATATGTGATTCAGACTCCTGGGCCAAGGACCTGATCGTATCTGCCCTACTTCTGATTCAATATCACCTGGCCCAGGGAGGAAGAAGGGATGCACAGAGCTTCCTTGAAGCTGCTGGCACCACCAACTTTCCTGCCAATGAGCCTCCTGTAGTTCCTGATGAATCCTGCCTGAAGTCTGCTCCCATTGTAGGTGACCAAGAACAAGCAGAAAAGAAGGACCTAAGGAGTGTTTTCTTCAATTTCATCCGGAACTTACTTAGTGAGACCATTTTCAAGCGTGACCAAAGCTCTGAACCCAAGGTGCCGGAACAGCCAGTTAAGGAAGATAGGAAGTTGTGTGACAGACCTTTAGCCCCATCTCCCCCTAAACTATGTGAAGATGATGAGACCCCTGGTGCCCTTTCTGGGCTGACCAAGATGGTTGTCAGCCAGATAGATGGCCACATGAGTGGGCAGATGGTAGAACATCTGATGAACTCAGTGATGAAGCTGTGTGTCATCATTGCTAAGTCCTGTGATTCTTCTTTGGCAGAGCTGGGAGATGACAAGTTGGGAGATGACAAGTCTGGAGATGCCAGTAGGCTAACTTCGGCCTTCCCAGATAGTTTATATGAGTGTTTGCCAGTCAAGGGCACAGGGTCAGCAGAAGCTCTCCTGCAGAATGCCTATCAAGCTATCCATAATGAAATGAGAGGTATATCAGGTCAGCCTCCTGAAGGGTGTGCAGCACCCAAGGTGATTGTCAGCAATCACAACCTAACGGATACAGTTCAGAACAAGCAACTCCAAGCCGTCCTTCAATGGGTAGCTGCCTCTGAGCTCAATGTCCCTATTTTGTACTTTGCTGGTGATGATGAAGGGATCCAGGAGAAGGTAAGAAACAAAGGCAGAGGAATTTGGAAGCTTTATTAAGAGTTAACTAGGGCTTTAAGTTCTGGTTTCTTTCTGAATGGGAAGATAGCCACAGGGAAGGTAAAATGGAAACAGTAGGATTTGAAGATCATGCCTCTTGGCAGAGATAATGGATAAAGAAAAATTAGATTTTGCCCAATACAAGGCATATCAAAGGGGAAAGGGGGGATAAATGATGTTTTTCTGTTTTCTGCATTTAGGAGTAGGAGTGTACAGATGAGGAACCTCCAAGAGACCTAGCGACAGAATCAGATTAAGGTCTGGGCTCTAGGCTGAGTTTTGGATAGGACAGCATTGCTCAAAGGATGAGATGAAGCTGGAAAGTAGCCCTAGGATGTGTTAGGGAAGAGGCAGAGTCTGAATTTATGACCTTTTCAAACGTGCCATTACTGTCTTAGCTGGTTGTCTAGGTGGTGTTGGGGATTTGAAAGGATTCAGTCGATAACACCCCTCTTCCCCCTACCCTAAGTTCTGAATCAGTTGACAAGTAAGACTAAAGCATAAGGCAGATGGGAAATCAACTTATCACTGTTATTACTGATAAAGGTAAACGTGCCTGATAAGTTCTTGTTCTCCATGCAAGGTGCCCAATAAGCATCAGAACTGCTCGCCAAAGGGAGGGTTTGAATCTGGAGAACACGCACACTTACCCAAGATGCTGCTGCTTCATACTGAAGTGGGGGAAGTAAAAAGACAATCCCCACAACCTTCTCTTCTCTGTCTTCTCTGCCTTCTCGCTCGCTCTCGCGCTCTCTCTCTCTCTCTCTGTCTCATTTTCTCTTCCTCAGTGCTTTTCATTGTCTCCTCTTGATTGAGAAAAGTGGAACACCTGCTGTTAATCATTCAGTGGCAAAGGGTGGTACAAGAGGCTAGGATTATTTAGAAAAATTCATCATCATAGAAATCAAAAGATACAGAAAAAAAGGCCTTCTCTGCTTAATTCAGTGGTATTTACATGGTATTAGCAACGCTTGCAACTGGGTCGCTACGTTTATCTGATGACTGGAAAGACACACGATTACAGAGCATCCAGATTAGGCTATATCAAGCCTAAACAAGAAACTGTATGGTCTTTGACTTTGGTCTTAGCAAGACTACACTTGCTACTCAAAGTGTAGTCTGTGGACCTACAACATTGGCATCACCTGGAAGCTTTTTAGAAGGGCAGAATCTCACACATCCCTCCAGACCTACTGAATCAGAATCTTCATTTTAGCAAAATACCCAGGTGAGTTGTGTGCACATTCAAGTTAGGCTAGAAGACAATGTGAACTTCCAATATTAGATCTATTCCTAAGGGTCCTTGGCAAGCTCTGTCTCCATGCAGGGTTTCCAATCTGTAAAACAGACAACTACTTTATAGTATATAGCAATTAGCAGAGGTGGGGAGTGGGAGGCTATATTCTGAAGAGAATTTAAACTGATGAAAAAATCTAAAAATAAGCATAGCCTTCAGGTGTATAATGTGTCAGAAAGCCTTTTGTAGCCATCTTTGAAATCAAACCCATCATATATAACATACATAATACATTCTGGCTTTAGACTTTTTTTGAATTGGAATGTATTGTTTTCGATTATTTTAAATTGAAACATGTCTCTAAAATAGGACAGTAGACTTGCAGTCCCCCACTTTTATACACACCTCCCCCCCCCACACACACACCCCTTTGTCTACTCTAAAGATAAGGACAGTCATCTATTTTGTTGACTCCGTCTAAGAGTAGAAGGAACGAGAAGCAGCATGTTCAAACTTCAACTAATAAATAGATGCACTGAATATTAGTGTATTTTTACGAACAGGGATGACATAGACACCAAGGAAACTGCCTAAAAATGACTTTTTGAAAAGAGATTAATGTATGCAAATATTCTTATACTGATTCAGGTGATTGAACCTGCTGTCACTGGGATGTCTGTGAACCTAATGTCTTTAAATACACTTGTATTTATTTTTGAATAAATAATATGTGTGCGTAGTTCAAAATTCAAAAGTACAAAAGGATACACAGTGAAAATTAAGGGTTTTCTCACTTGTGTGCTCCATCCTATTGCCGTTTGGATCAGTTTCTTATTTATCCTTCCAGAAACACACACACACACACATACATACACGTAAAGTCGCAAATTATTTTTTTTTATATATATATATATATCCTCTTCTGCAACATATAGAGCTGCCACATTCTTTTTAATGGTTTTATGTATTTTATAATATATGAAACCATTTCATATATATGTTTTATATATGTTTTATATATGTTTTATATATTTAACCACTCCCCTATGTATGGATATTTCAGTTGCCACTATTTTGCACTGTAAGCAATGCTACACTGAATATCCTTGAATATACATAATTTTGCACAGATTCAAATGTATTCACATGTGCTATACACCTAGGAAAGGAATTTCAAGGTCACTGAGAATATTATTTGTGTAATTTGATACATGTTTCCAAATTGCCTTCCATAGAGCTTGTACCAATTTACACACCTGTTAAAACAGTGTAAGAGGACTATTTCCTCACACTTAAACCAACAGTGCATGCTAAAATTTAATTTGCTAAGTTGCTTTACTTTTTGTCTTATTAGGAATGAGGGTGAGTATCTTTGCATATATTTAAGACCATTTGAATTTCCTCTTCTGTGGATAAATTGGTCATAACTTCTGCCCATTTTTCTTTTTTTAACTTTTACGTTAGGTTCAGGGGTATATGTGCTTGTTTGTTATACAGGTAAACTCGTGTCACAGGGGTTTGTTGTACAGATCGTTTTGTCACCCAGGTACTAATCCTAGTACCGACCCAATAGTTATTTTTTTCTGATTGTCTTCTTGCTCCCACCCTCCACCCTCAAGTGTCTGTGGTTCCTCTCTTTGTGTCCGTGTGTTCTCATCATTTAACTCCCACTTCTGATAACATGCTGTATTTCGTTTTCTGTTCCTGAGTTAATTTGGCAATGGTAATGGCCTCCAGCTGCATCCATGTTCCTTCAAAGGAGATGGCCGTGCTCTTTTTTATGGCTGCATAATATTCCATGGTGTATATGTACCACATGTTCTTTATCCCATCTGCCATTAATGGGCATTTAGGTTAACTCCATGTCTTTGTTATTGTGAATACAGTGTTGCAATGAACATTCATGTGCGTGTGTCTTTATGGTAAAACAATTTATATTCCTTTGGGTATACACCCAGTAATGGGATTGCTGGGTTGAATGGTAGTTCTGTTTTTAGCTCTTTGAGGAATCGCCACACTGCTTTCCACAATGGTTAAACTAATTTACACTCCCACCAACAGTGTGTATGCGTTGCCTTTTCTCCACAACCTTGCCATTACTTTTAATAATAGCCATTCTAACTGGTGTGAGATAGTATCTCATTATGGTTTTGATTTGCATTTATCTAGTGACCAGTGATATTGAGCTTGTTTTTATATGCTTGTTGGCCACACATATTTCTTCTTTTAAAAAGAGTCTGTTTGTGTCCTTTGCCCACTTTTTAATGGGGTTTTTTTTTTCTTGTAAATTTGTTTCAGTTCCTTATAGATGCTGAACATTAGACCTTTGTCAGATGCATAGTTTGCAAATATTTCCTTCCATTATGTAGGTCGTCTGTTTACTCTATTAATAGTTTCAATTGCTGTGCAGAAGCTGTTAAAATTTAATTAGATCCCATTTGTCGATTTTTGCCCTTGTTGCCGTTGCTTTTGGTGTATTCATCATCATGAAATCTTTGCCAGTTCCTGTGTCCAGAATGGTATTGCCTAGGTTGTCTTCTAGGGTTTTTACAGTTTTTAGTCTTCCATTTAAGTCTTTAATCCATCTTGAGTTGAGTTTTGTACATGGTGTAAGGAAGGGGTCCAGTTTCAATCTTCTGTATATGACTAGCCAGCTATCCCAGCACCTATTGAATAGGGAGTCCGTCCCCATTGCTTGTTTTGGTCAGCTTTGTCAAAGATCAGATGGTTGTAGTTGTGTGGCCTTATTTTTGGGCTCTCTATTCTGTTCCGTTGGTCTGTATGTCTGTTTTTGTACCAGTACCGTGCTGTTTTGGTTACATAACAGACTGTACTTACACAAACCTAGCTGGTATAGCCTACTGCATATCTAGCTTATATTGTATAGCCTGTGGCTCCTAGGCTACACACCTATATACAGCATGTTACTGTACTGAATACTGTAAGCAATTGTAACACCACGGTATGTGTGGATCTAAACATATCTAAATATAGAAAAGGTACAGTAAAAATATGGTTTGAAAGATAAGTGGTGCATCTGTGCAGGTCACTTACCATGAATGGAGCTCACAGGACCGGAAGTTGCTCTGGATGAGTGAGTGACTGAGTGGTGCGTGAATGTGAAGGCCTAGGACATTACCATTCACTACTGTAGACTTCATAAACACTGTACATTTAGGCTACAATAAATATATTTTTAAATGTTTTTCTTTCTTCAATAATAAATTAACAGCTTACTATAACATTTTTATGTTACAAACTTTTAATATTTTTAACTTTTTGACTCTCTTGTAATAACACTTAGCTTAAAACACACATTGTACAGTTACACAAAAATATTTTCTTTCTTTATATTCTTTTTTATGAGTTTTTTTCTATTTAATTTTTTTTTTACTTTTTATTAAAAATGAAGATACAAACACACACATTGACCTAGGCCCACACAGGGTCAGGATCATCAATATCATTGCCTTCCACTTCTGCATGTTCTCCCACTAGAAGGTCTTCAGGGTAAGTAACACTCATGGAGCTATTATGTCCTATGATGACGATGCCTTTGTCCTGAAGGACCTGCCTGAGGCTGTTTTACAATTAATTTTTTTAAGAAGTAGAAGGAGTAGACTAAAATAACACTAAAAGTATAGTATAGTGAATACAGAAATCAGTAACGTAGTCATTTATTTTCATTATGAAGTACCATCCACTATATGTAATAGTGTGTGCT